GGGTGGAGCCCTTTTGGGGGTGGCCCCTCTGCTTCTGCCGCTGAGTCCCTCCTGGTCTTTCTCTCCCCTTCCTCTCAGAAGCCTGGAAGTCCCTGACGGACAAGGTCCAGGAGGCTCGGTCCAACGCCCGCCTGAAGCAGCTCTCCTTCGCAGGTACCGCCAGCAGCCCCAACTGGGCAGGAGGGCCTGCCACCGGGCTGGGCCTCCTTGCCGGGCCTCCTGCCGTGGCGACAGGGGACGGGCCAGCCTTTGTGGGCTTCCTCAGCACCAGGCCTGTGGGCGTGGGAGGTCGGAAGAGACTCGCTTCCCTCCGGACAGGGACTGAGGAGAACAGGGCCGGCCGGCCGGCAGCTGTGGAGACTGGGTCGGCCGAGGTCGCTGCTTGGGTCTTCCTGGCCCAGCCCAGGCAGCGCCACTGCCCTCCAGCCTGGGCTCCTGCTGAGACCGGGCGGTGCAGCCCATGTTCCCTGTCCCCCCCCCCAGTCCCTCGGGTGGTGGCGGCAGCGGCTGCTCTTCTTCAAAGGCCCGGGGGTGCGCAGATGCCCTGGTTTCCTCTGCACGGGTGGGTAAGAGGCCCCTCTCCCCCTTTGCCCCTGCCAGGGGTGAGCGGCCTGCGGATGCTGGGCCTTCTCCATGAGGCCGTGGTGTTCCTGATTGAGCAGCTGTCGGGCGCAAGGCACTGCCACAACTACAAGTTCCGCTTCCACAAGCCGGAGGAGGCCCGAGAGCTCCCCGTGAATCCCCACGGGTCGGCCCGGGCTGAAGTGCACTGCAGGTGAGAGACACCAGCCCTCCGGAGCGGCCCCTCTGCTCTGGGCAGAGAAAGGCAGGAGGCACAGCCCGGGCGCTACCGCGGGGTCTCCTGGCGAGGATGCCGAGAGCTTCGCCTCGGGATGGTTCCTGGGAGGCCTCTTTCTCCCTGTGTGCCCTCGTGGCCCAGACATCAGCCCTTCCAGGCCAGCTCTGCGGCTGAGTGGGTCAGAAAGGAAGGAAGGAAAGGAGGAAGGGAGGGAGGGAGGGAGGGAAAGCCCGCCAGAGCTCTGAAAGGGGTGCCTGCCAAGCTCAGCAGAGGGCGGGGGAATCCAAAGCCTGGGCAGCTCTCCCTGCAAGCGAAGGGCGGTGCGGCCGGTGGCCCTGAAAGGAGGCAAAGGAGGGTGCCCGGCGTGCAGCGTGGAAAGCCGGAGGTGTGGGTCGGCTTCAGGCTGCCCTTTTGCCCGGAGGTCTGCCTCCTGCTGCATCTGCCCTGCGCTCTATCTACCCTTCAGGAAGTCTGCCTTCGACATGTTCAATTTCCTGGCTTCGAAGCATCGGCAGCCCCCAGAGTACAACCCCAACGACGAGGAGGAAGAGGAGGTGCAGCTGAAGTCTGCCCGGTACATAGCGGGTGCGGAGGCGAGTTGGTGGGGAGGGGTCAGGCAGGGACCCCCCTCTCCACCCTCCAGCTCAGACCCGCTGGGAGGCAGCCCTTCTGTCACGGCTGTCATTGCGGCCAAGGGTTGGTAGACCCCCTGGGGCTCCAAGGAGAGTGAGGCTGCCCGGGGGGGGGAGAGCCCCCTTTGCCCCCAGGGGGAAGGGGAGGGGGCACCTGATGTGCAGCCTCATCCTTTTGCCTTTTCTTCCTGGCTTCAGGAGGGCCACCAGCATGGACCTGCCCATGCCCATGCGGTTCCGGCACTTGAAGAAGACCTCCAAGGAGGCTGTCGGAGTCTACAGGTAGGCGAGGCTCGGCTGGAGGGACCCAGCTGGGGAGGGTGGACGGGAAGCCTGGCGCTCTGCAGCCGTTGCCTGGGGCTGTCTGGCCTTCGTCTGCCCAGCCGGGCCCCTCTGCAGAGGTGCCCTCCCCCCAACAGGGCCCATGAGCCTGGCTTTGTGGGTCTCGGCACTCCTTGGGACCTCTTCCTGGTGGGTTTGCCTCCATGTTTAGTGCATGGCATGGCTCTCCTGTGGGGAGTGGCGGTCCTGGCATGCAGGCACATGCCAGCCCCTCTGTGTGTGTGTGTGTGTGTGTGTTTGTGTGTGTTTGTGTGTGTTTGTGTGTGTGTGTGTTCTTGCTGGCCAGGTCTCCCATCCACGGCCGGGGCCTGTTCTGCAAGAGGAACATTGACGTGGGAGAGATGGTCATCGAGTATGCAGGCAACGTGATTCGCTCCATCTTAACCGACAAGCGAGAGAAATACTATGACAGCAAGGTGAGCTTCTGCCACCCAAGAAGGCCGGTGGGCCTGTATCAAAGGGGGCCGCATGTGCTTACTCGCTGAGCAAGCCGGGAGGGCAGGGAGGAAGGCATCCCTTGCCCTGCGCTGGGAAGGGAGCAGAATCGCTGTGTAGCTCCCGCAGCCAAGCACACAGCAGAGGGAACCGGTGCCAGGAAAGGGTAAGGGATGCAGAGGGCTCTCGGTTGACCTCCTCGCTGCCGAGATGGGCTGCTGAGCTGGGCGCAGGGTGGGATGAGGCCTCCCGGTGGAGGAAGGGGCTTCTTCCGGGGAAGGGCAGCCCAGGGCTCTCGTCCCTGCCCAGAGCCCACCGGGGTGTTTGCAGGGTGGATGCCCCATCCCGGCACTTGGGAGCCAAAGGGCGGTGTGGGCCTTTTCAACTGGGGGCAGTTCCCTGGAGCAGGTCAGCGCCGGCGTGGCATCCGGTCCCAAGAGGCAACCCCTCCTCCTCCTCCTCCTCTTTCCCCCTCCCTGCTTGTGGCTCCAGGGCATCGGCTGCTACATGTTCCGCATCGATGACTCGGAGGTGGTCGATGCCACCATGCACGGGAACGCGGCCCGCTTCATCAACCACTCGTGTGAGCCCAACTGCTACTCCCGGGTCATCAACATCGACGGGCAGAAGCACATCGTCATTTTCGCCATGCGCAAAATCTACCGCGGCGAGGAGCTGACCTACGACTACAAGTTCCCCATAGAAGACGCCAGCAACAAGCTTCCGTGCAACTGCGGGGCGAAGAAGTGCCGCCGCTTCCTCAACTGACCGAAGCAGGGCAGGGGGCGGCCTTGGCCACCTGGGCGGACGGTGCCTCCAGCCGGAGGCTTGGGCTGGGCCCCTTCACCGGGCCGGGTTCTTCGCTGACCTCTTGACTTTGAACAGGGTCTTGCCCAGAGAAGGGGTTGGTCCCCTGGAGGAGGAGGAGGAGGAGGAGGCGGCAAAGCCTAGTGGGCTCCGTTTAGCCCACCTGCTGCTGGCCAGTAGCCCTCGGGTGGTGTGGACTTGACACGACAGGCAGAGGCCTCCGGACTGGCCCTTTTTGCCTGGGATGGGTCCGGGTCACGGGTGGCCGTTCCCCTGAATGTGGAGCTCTCCGTGGTTGCGCCATCGCTCAGGGTGAGCAGGCCAAGGGCCCCGAGCCATGTGGGGAAGAGGAGGAGGAAGAGGAGCTGGCTGTTTCCCTGGCCCCATGATCCAGCCCCCCTTCCCCCCCCCCGGGCACAGAGCCTGCCAGCAAGCAGACACCCCTGCGTTGTTCCAGGGAAGCAGCTGCTGCACAAGATGGAAGGAAGAAGGGGTGCCGGAGGGCTGGGGCGATGGGGAGCGAGTGTTGGCCTTCTCCAGAAGCTGCCGTTAAAAGTGAAGAGTGCCCCCCCATCCCCTCCAGGGTGACCTCCTTGGGAGGCGGGGGGGGGGCTTTTCCAAGCAGCACAACTTCCTTCCAGCCCCTTTCAGTTGAACCCTCTTGAATTATGTCATTGGATTTGCTTTGATTCTGTTTACAATTTTAGTATTTAAGGTTTTGTAAATGTAAGTATATTTTCTATATTTTTCT